AGGTAAAAAGGGTGTTGTTTTACATGACCATTGAGGAATTTTAACCAAAGTATTTTGCTGACATTTCATTAAGACCCTAATGAATCATACCAACTTGTGGAAAATGGGCCAGTCACACCGAACATGTTTTTGCTTTGAAAAATGTGAGATGTGGGCAGTGGACTGGGGAAAAAAATGCAAGGTCAAGAGACGAGTTCTTTAAAGGCTGAACTTATTTTAACTGGAAAAGTAGCACAGTAGAATGCAAAAATGCATCCTATGTAGGGTTGCAAATGAGTGGAAAATTTCCGGAAACTTTCCAAAAGTCCCTGGAAGATTCCAAAAAAATCCTGGAAAGTTTCCAAAATTTCTGGAATGTTTCTGAAATTTACTGGAAATTTTCCACCTTTTTGCAACCCTGATCCTATGTAAACCAGCCTTAAGCCATGAACAAAACAAATCAGCTCTGCAACAAATTACAACTTTAATAACTCTGATTAAAAGTATGTGAAAATTGTACACAATTCTTTGAATGAATTAACTATATGCCATGAAATGCTGTGAAATTTGTTACTGATTTAGAAAAGGCTTATGGCAAGTATGAAAATAAATATATTTTGCTTCTTGCTGCAAGAAAAAAAAAATTATATATACACTACCATTCAAAAGTTTGGGGTCAGTAAGATTGTTTTTAAAAGAAATTATCAAATTGATCAAATACTGTAAAGACAGTAATATTGTAATTAAATATTATTATTAAATATTACAATTTGAAATCACTTTTCTATTTTAACATTTTAAATTGTAATTTATTACTCTGATGGCAAAGCTGAATTTTCAGCATCATTACTCCAGTCTTCAGTGTCACATGATCCTTCAGAAATCATTCTAATATTCTGATATGCTGCTCAAGAAACATTTCTTATTATCAGTGTCGAAAAACAGTTGCTTAATATTTTTGTGGAAACCTTCATTTTTTCAGGAATCTTTGATGAATAGAAAGTTCAAAAGAATAGTATTTATTTGAAATATAAATTTTTCGTTACATTGTAAAAATAGTATTTATTTGAAATAGAAATCTTTTGTTACATTGTAAAAATCTTTACTGTCACCTTTGATCAATTTAATATTAGTATGCTAAATAAGCACACTGCATCGAGGATCTTCCCATAATCCACAACATAAATCAAAGTTGTTGACTCCGCTATTATGATGCTCACTTATGGTCTTCTACAGAAGCTTATCAAAAAAATAAAAATAAAATAAAATAAATCAATTTAACTTCCAGAACCATGACAGTTTCGCTCTAATGAGCGTGTCAGTATATTACCGGTCTGAATTGGGTCTCTCCTGTGGCGTGTCATCAGGAGTAGCACTGCCAAGGATTCTCTTCCTGGCCTCTGCATATTCTGCCTCTCGCTGAGCTAAGGATTTTACTTGTGGGGAGGGTCGAGTCTGCGTCACAGATGATCCTAAAGATCCATTACTGGAGGGTCGCTTTAAAATACGAATCTGAGGTGGGGGTGCTGCGGGGAGGGAGTCATCCTGGATTACGATGGCTGTTCTCATCGGAGAACGGCTTGAACTGCCACTTGAAAGTCTGGAAGAGCATCCAAAAAATAAAAAAAAAAATATATATTTTTTTAAGAGTAAAACAAGCAACACCGAGCAAAATATGGACTCAAAAACTAAAGGATGACCAGACACACCTTTCTTTCTGACTGATTCGAAGCTTTTCCTCTAGTCTTCTTTCCATTTCCTAAGTCAAACACACAAAAAATGAACACTTCTACTGGAAGAATATCTCATAAAGTTATCTTATAAAACAGTACAGGCAGGCCGCTTCAAGGAGGAGCCTCTGAAGCAGCAGCAAGTTTTCAATTTCACAAAGTTATTTATATATCCTTAGTGCAGTGGCTAAATTAATGACAAGGCCGAATTACAGAGTGCTGCTTGAGTAGGTAGACAATATGAGGCTTTTCTAAACAGAGACTTGAGGGAAACATTCAAATGGAGGAAAAGATGTGTTTACGGAGCCTAATGGCTGGGGTGTTGACGTCACTGGCAGACAAATACTGACATAAACTCTTTAAAAGGTCTCACGTTTTAAAAGAGATCAATATTTGAAAGCAACCATGATACATGGTCACATTTTGCGTGCTCGCTCTCTCTCGCTATATATATGCTACTAAATGAGAGTAAAGAAACGCGATATTAAATACCAATGAACTTTTTCTGTCAAGGGCATATTTAAAGTAACAGCTCAGACCAAAATAAGAAATTCTGTCATTTATTCATCCACATTTCGTTGTGAAACTGTATGCATTACTTTCTTCTGTGGAACACAACCGGAGAAGTTAGGCAGAATGACAATCCCAGTCACGAATAACTTTTTATTGTATTAAAAACAAATCGCAATGAAAGTAAATGGAAACTGAGACTGGATTCTGCCTCACATCATCTATTTCGCTCTACAGACGAAATAAGGCCAGAAATGAGAGTAGACGACAGGTTATTTTTTTTCTTTTTTAATTGTTAAAAAGCTATTATTTTAAATTTATCTACAAAACAATATTAACGCTCATGAGATCCACATATCTGTATCATCCGATAGTTATAACAAGAACGGAGCTTATTGAGATAAACCTTCCATTCTAAATCACTAAGTTACAGATACTTGACTAAATAAAGCTATGTTGATTTGCAAATACATTGTTCCACCGTATCATTGACAACAAACCCCAGGACAAACTGCAAACTTGTGAAAACCGCCTGTTGACTGTCTGAATTGAGACTATCCCACTTGGATATTCCACTGCTTTGAAACCGTATTTCCGCATAAAATCAACTCATAAAATTCTACACGTATCAAAAATCCACAGTTCCTTCTCTACGACATCCAACAGGTCTCGGTCCATTCGGCAGCCATCTCTGGTTTCTTATACGGTGGCAAAGAAAGATTTTCCCTTTTATTCATCAGAAGTTGCCCCGGCTAACTAGCATTAGTTAGCAGGCAGTTTCATTTCATTACGCCATTTGCTTTGAACACAAATTGTTCTACGTGACGCACGAACGTGTCGCTTCACCAACTGCCATTTTCAAAATATTTTACCTAACGTACTGGTTTAAAATAAGAATTATGCCACAACATCTGATTTGGGACCAGTTTCCCTTTAACTGCGGCCTACCGCCCAACTCTAACTATACAGGTGTGGCTAGCGCGCTAGCATGAGGCCGGTAGTATGAATCAGCCTAATGCTCCACGCGAGGCTGTGTACATTGAAAAGACAGTTTGTGGAAGAGAGAAGGAAAGCTTTTCCTATATTTACCCCACTATCAGCGGCCTCTTCCCAGCTCTCGGCGACCTCCTCATCTTCCATGTTTCCACTCTTGGCTAACTAGGGGCTTCCCTCAGCCCACACGCTAACGCACATTTTCCCTCTACAGCGTCAATGAGCCGCTTAGTGTTACACAGTAGCGCCATCTGCTGCTGGGAGGATAGAGTTACAAAAATACTAAGAATCATAAAACAGTGTTTACACAGTAAATAATAATAATAATAATAATAATAAAGCACTAGTTTAACAACAAAATGCACATCACGTGCACGGGCTGCTACAGTACAGGTTTCTCAAGGTATGCGCATAAAAAAAAATATTATATATATAGCACATATAAAATGAGCTTCACCGGAAGATTACGAGCTGGCTCGCTTATCTTTATCCGGAAGTTCTAAATAGTGCTCCGAGGAACCTGTTAATCAAAAGGTTGGAATAGGTGTATATATTCACAAATTTAAAGTACGAATTAGTTTGAAATTGCCAGATGATTTATCAGTATACACTGCAGAGTTAACAGCTATAATAATAGGACTACAGTGGGTTGAACAAGTCAGACCAAATAAAGTGGTAATATGTTCAGATTCGTCTTCAGCTTTAATTAGTATAGCACATGCGAGATCAGACAGAGAAGATTTATTAATGGAAGTGTATCTATCTTTATACAGATTGAAAGAGGCTGGAATAATGGTATATTTTTGTTGGGTGCCAGCACATGTTGGGGTATCTGGTAATGAAGTTGCTGATAAACTAGCAAAAAAAGCACTAGACAAGATGGTGGTGGATGTTAAAGTGCCTATGGGAAAAAGGGAGGCAAAGTCAATTTTAAATAAAAAGTTAATGAATAAATGGCAAATTAGATGGGATAATAGCAGCACAGGGAGATGGTGTTATAATATTACGCAGACAGTAGGGAGGATAAATTGTCAGGGAAGAAATAGGAAAGAAGAGGTGTGGCTGTCTAGATTAAGACTGGGACATACAGGGTTGAAATCAACACTGGCACTTATGGGTTTACATGAAAATGGGTTATGCGATGTATGTGGTGTATCTGAAAATGTATATCATGTACTTTTTAGGTGTAGTAAATATAGTGTATATCGTGACAT